TCTTTTCTTTAGTCTTGAACTTTAATAAGAAAACGCAAGCAGACCAATAACATTATGCAGATTAAACCCTACGTGACTGTAAAATCGATATTTCTTTATGTGGTATTGATGCATGTTTAACTTTTCACGGCTGTCGGAATCAACGCGCCTACGTCTACGGAGCTTACTTAGAAGTGATTCGCAATTCGGTAGAGCTTACCAAAAGTTTTTTGAGCTTATGTTGCTTAGAATTTGTTCGATACGGTCGCGAAATTTTGAAATGATTAATACGTGCGGTAAAATGGCTTAATTGAAACAAACCTCAAAAGCAAAATCTGAGAATATCTAGGGAGGAAACCAAAATTAATCAACTTGTCAACATAGGCTATCACATTTATTTTGGTGGCACTCTTTGAGTGATAATAAGCTGTTTTTTCTCTACGGTTGTCTCACGTGACGTTCACAATTTGCGCGATTTTCGTATCTTACGTAATTTAGATGTTTAGCTCTAAACGGTTTTACTGACTCGAGGTCGTTCCTTAAGCGGTGTTTGTACAGGTTAAACCTTTGCCGAATGTCGGATTCAACGCGCCTACGTCTACGGAGCTTACGCAGAAGTGATACGCAATTCGGTAGAGCTTGTCAAACGCTTTTGAGCTTATGTGGTATAGTATTTGTTCGGTGCGGTCACGAAATCTTGAAATGATTGATACGTTCTTTAAATTAACTAATTTGATACAAAGCTCAGTAGTAAATAAGTAGAATATATAGGTAGGAAACCAGAATTAATCAACTTGCCAACATAGGCCATCAGATTTATTTTGGTGGCACTCTTTAAATGATAATAAGCCTTTTTTCTCGCTTCGGTTGTCTCGCACGGCTTTCGGAATTCGCGCGGTTTTCGTAACATACATAATTTAGATATTTCGGTCGAAACGGATTTACTTATTCAATCGGTTTACTACGCGGATGTATCTACGCGCACACGACACAGCATTTCTTCTATAACTAGGGTCAGGCATGGAAAATCATTTACATTCATTTCATGCATTCATTTACATTCATTTGCCTCTAACTTTTTTCATCAACAGCATTCCACAAAATGATGTAAAGAGCTTTAGTAGGTTTTGTTATTAGCTACAACTTTTGTCCATAACTCAAATCTGTATCTCTTATGCATCACGATTAGCGCGGGCAGATCATGTTCCTGTTTTTCAGTGAATGTAAAATACATTCACTGAAAAACAGTAGTGGGTTCTGTTCGCTCTGGTTCGTCATGCATAACATATACGGATTTGAGTTATGGACAAAAGTTGTAGCTACTAACAAAACCTACAAAAACTCTGTACATCATTTTGCGGAATTCTGTTGATGAAAAAAGTTAGGGGCAAATGAATGTAAATGAATGCACGAAATGAATTTAAATGATTTTCCATGCCTGACTAGGGTAGAGCACTACTTCGTCGTAATCGCCCATTTCCGTTCTATCGACCAGAAAAGATCAACAATAACAATGATTTCACCGTGCACAAATCAAAAATAGGTTTGTTCCGATGCGTTAGTTCATTAGCTACAACATAAATCCTATTAGAGCGCATTGTATGAATATTTACGCTCATTGTTCTCAAAACAAAAGAAGCACTCCTAGCGAATCCCCTTTTTCTACGATTATCCGTAGGACGAAGAAAATCTAATGGCGTTTCAATGCGTTAGGACGGAATTGAAACTCGTAAGACGAATTTAGAATCAAGAAGCAGTGTTAGATTTCAAACAATATCTGTCACTCTTTATCAAATCCAACGGTACGAATGGAAAGGTGAATAAATTTAGAAGTCATCTTTGATAGAAATATTCCATTTTTTGTTCAAACCCGTTCAGAAAAGAGAGGTAAAGTGCGGGTTGTGCTTAGTAGGACGGAAATTAGATCAAAAACCCTATCTTGAAACAATACATACGGAATCCAGTGTTCAAGCGGTCAACATAGGCTAGTCCTTCTGCTGTATTGTCAAAGATAGAAGTAAAATTTATTCAAATGGGTCAAGTCTTGAAAAGTAAGCTGTCACGCAGCTCCAGCTTAATACCCAATAAAAAAAAAAGTTACCCGCATTATCAAAGATACCCCGTTTTACGGTACCAGAAATCATGCCATGATTAAAATTAATAACTCACTCATTAAAAAATGGTCCAACTATTCCAAATACAATATTTTAGTTCTTACACAATGATCCATTTCGAAAATTTTACAATCTTCAGAATCACTTAAAAAATCACAATTGTAAATGTAAATATTTATGGATCTTGAAATTGGTTTACTTACATGCTACCGTAAAATTCCCGTGAGCAGGTTCATACAACTCGATATTGAAGCGACTATCGAGTAATAGAACAACAATCACATAGGAAATCATATTTAAAGTAGCCATGACGTTCATTTTTATTATACTCCTATAACTCGATATCGAGTTAGTCGACATCGAGTTGCGTAGAGTTGACTAAATAAACGTACACCAGAATATAGAGTACAAAACATGAAAAAATTAACTACTCGCTGTATATATTCCTCCAATATAAAATCCTCTTGAACAAGATCCACTCACCGTGCACTGGGACAAAACTGGAGCGGTTGCATTCACGAAGTTGTAACTGGGGCTGGCTGGTTGGCTGGGACAACTCTACATACAGCCCCAGTCACCAGCAGAGTGGAAGTGTACACTTATCTTTTCGCGTTTTTTGATTGTTATGTAAATTATCTTTCGCGCGCTGCATACATCGGAGCGCAGAGTGCTGGGGAACGAAAGGGAGGTGGATAAGTGAAGTTTTCCTGTCCACAGACAATCGCAGACAGACCAGAGGCTCCGTGCTGGGGACCTGTGCACCATTCCGTTCCTTTCAAGCGAAAGTGTGGTCGAGGAATTTGTGCTTCTGCAATAATTAAATTATTTGCATATTTCCAGTCACCACGGTTTCGCTCGGTGGTTGGCTGTTGGGAACCCGTTCAATTCGGCAGGTTACCGATTTGAACCGATTTAGTCATCAAATTGTACAGGATGTTTAGGATGGTTTGTGTTTGTGTTACATCAAAGTTGTTGCGTAACTGCAGGAGAAGAAAATTGCCTGCAGAGACAACAATTTCGAAAGGGGAACCGTTTTTGTTTCATAAAGTTGTTGATTGCCTTCTGGAAGCAATTAAGCTTCGGTCGGTGTGTGGGAGTGCAAGATTGAGTCGGTAAATGCACACAGCACAGTTGCGCAGCTGAGTATGGCACATACGTTCTCCTGCCGAGGGTTGTAAAATGAAGTTGCTTGCAACCAATCCTTTTGATGAATGGCTTCGGCGTGCAGTAGATCTGGCAAACAAACTAACACTATGTCTGCTAAATTGAATTGTTGACGGTAATGTGTTTATTGTTTTAGCTTGCATCATCGTAGTTCTATGAGCTTAGAGACAGAGGAGCCGCCGGTGAAGCACCATAACAGCGCAGATTGAGTGCTCTCCAAGACGGTTGAAATTCAAACGTTACTCTGTAGGTGGAGTGCGATGATGCAGATGGAAGCTGTAAGCGTAGTTACTCGTGACTTTGTCGTACACGGGAAAAAAAGAGTTCCCATATTCGTGAACCACAGCCGTGAACCATAGTTCACGGTGTATATTTGAGAAAATTTTGATCTTGATAGTTGGCCGTGATTTTTAGTTCATGGTCCGTTCCCGTTTTCGGGAACGGATTTTTTTCCGAGTACGCAACCATTCTTTGCTTCTTCATGTAAGAGAGATTCACGAAAGTGAGGGAAAATTTATTACATATTTGAATAATTGCTTGCCATTGTGAGTTGTTAATATCTCATGTTAAATTTGTAAATTTGAAGGAAATCAACCAGATAAATAAAATAAATAGAAATAGAAACAAAATTAAGTGCACCATATGGAAATCGCAAAATTTCAGAAAATTTTGATCAAATTCTGTTGCGAAAAATCCTGATCATAGAAATTCAAGTTCATCTTAAATGACCAAGAATAGTTAACACTCCGAATACGCTGCCTCCGGTAAAATGTGTAACAGCAAACTGACAATGTTTGAAATTTCATAAATCAGTAAATTGCTGAGTAATAATTTTTTACACTTTGTCAATTTGCTGTCACACATTTTACCGCAGGTTGTTGATGGTAGCTCATAGAAATGAATCTATATGATATGACGTTAAAAGTTATTAGAGTTGTGTAGTTTAAAATAAATAAACTAAAGCAACGTTGCCAACATCGAGATTGTACTGTAATTTAAAGCGCAGATTTTTTTGTCAATTGAGTGCTTGGAGGTTCGAAATGCAAAACCATAAAACGACCCCATAAACTCTTCCCATCACAACATGCACTATCATCCGCACTTGATCGGGGGTCTGACTCATCTCTTTGTTTCAATTTCTCAACTGTTTAAAAATCCATTTATTCCACGGTCCCCCACTGGTCATCCAGATCAAGTTTCCCGATAGTGCCAGTCAAACCGGCGACTCACATCACACGAGAACGTAAACCTCCAGAATCGAAATCCCAGAATTAATCTTCAATTACCCACCGAAATATAAAAAAAAAACGCCGTGGGATGGAGAAAACAAATAAAATATTCCAAACATCACGGCCACAAATATTCATAAGCTCATTACACGGGCCTAATGATGAGAATTAGTGGGCTCCCTTCACCCAGACCCAGGCCCAAGGAAGGGGACAAAGGGCTTCGACACTCGTTCACTCCATCGATATAAACTCTCACCTTTGCTGGAGATTCAAGGCAAGGTGCGAGAAAACAGAATGTCTCAACCCATATTAGAACCAGAGAGAGAGAAAGCCCTAATCCATTCGAAAAGAACACAACAACAAGCCATGACACCCGGAGTCTAATGCTGCGTCCATCAGTAAGAGTGAGAGGGACTGGAAACATCACACTATACTGCAATTATCATATTAAAAGAAGAATCATAAAACGACGACGCGCGATCGGAATCAGAATGAAAAAAAAAAAAAAACTCACATCGTTTGCGTCTTGGCCAGCTCGGTATTGGGCGTGAAGGCATGGGAGATGTACGGCGGATACACTTTTGACCGATCCATCGGGATCGGGTTCGAGTTCAGTAACTCGTCGTGTGAGTACAAGGTGAAGGTGATAAAACGGAAAATTATTATTTTACGCTAACAATTTATTCGAATTCTAATTTTGTTACTTTTTACGATCGCGATAAACTGTCAGACCCGGGGTGGTTTAGCGGAGCGTGTTTCCATATGGTGTTGGAAGGATGACATGCTCTTCTTCTCGACTATTATATCCCAACCGGAACTTCACGCTTGCATTCAACTGAGCTCTTCAACGTTCTTTGAAAACTTGCATAGTTTGTTGTGGGACGAACAGTCGAATGAAAGAAGATTGAATGGACAAAAGGGGGAATGGACAAAGTGACGAATGGGCAAAAATTTAAGTGAACAAAAGTTCTAATGGCCCATAGGGGGGCAAAACGTTAAATGGACAAAGGGTCGAATTGATTTTTTTTTTTCGAATGGACAAAATGTTGAATGGATAAAATATTGAACGAAGAGAAGGTAAAATGGACAGAATGGTACAAAAATCAACAAATGATCAATTGGACCGAATGTTGAATGCCACTAGTGGCGGTAAGCTCCAACTCGGGTTAACTTTTAACCCGTCCCTGTTTGGATGATCTGCAAAATGTTTGTTTTGAGGCGTGTTGATTAAATTTGATGTTGACATCCAAACAGCCGGACATTCTTGATCGGGGTTTAATCCAACAACAATAACAACAAAAACCATCTACCAAACCAAACTCACTTGAACAATATCGAACTACTTTTCACGGCACAATCACACGGAATTTATATTGCTTCCACTCAATTCAATTCATTTGCAATTTTTCAACGGAATTTAATTGGTACTACGATCGAATTTATTTTTCAGATTCAAGTTGAAAATGCTATCTAAGATGAAGCTTTAGTGTGATAATTTATTGGCTAGAGAATGGTCTTAGAAGAGGGTAGGTAGAGAGTTCCGTTAGGGTACGACAGTATGAAAATTGAATAGAAGTTGAAAATGAGCGAAGGTCCATTAATGCGACAGTGCAAGTCTAATGCACACTCTTTGCCTAACCCGTACGATGTTAGCGGAAGTTTGAAGTATGTCTTCAAATCTACAGGCAAAAAGTGCGATTGACTTTGCTCAAATACTGTCTGCGGCTGTGGAATAGTTCTAGCGACCTTTCATCACTACCTAAAGCCCCACGCTGCGAAAGCATTTACAGTCCATGGTGTGTTATAATGCAATTCTTCATTACCCAACTATTGTGTTGGTTCGACAACAAATCGAAATAAACAAAATTTCTATAATGGATTAGTTGACCCAATCAGAAACTGGATTCTGCAATTAAAACTTATACCCACTGATCTGGCAATAACGGAGTTGCATCTACAGGCGATGAATCACGTAAGGTCGGATAAAATACAGTCAGGAATCCTTATTGCCGGATTCCTTATTGCCGGTATCTCTTATTGCCGGATCTTTATTGTCGGGCTATCCGCGAATAAGGATACCCACAGCTTATGGGATTTTCACTAATAGGGGCTGTGGTGGATTATCTCATTTGTTTCAATATATAGATCTATACTGTCTTGCACAAAGTTGTTGTACTAGGATAGACCAACAAGCCCGTGTCATTGGATTCAGCATTAGTTGGGAACTACGCCGCTAGAGGCGCTTCACTTTTATGTTACTTATGACGGGTGTTATAATATATGGATCATAGGCCCAACATAGAATATTTCATGATCCTGACCATATAGAAGGATACTGTCTTGAGCAAAGTTGTTCAGGTAATCATGCATGTCCTTTCGGATGGTGTTCATATTAGTTCAGAACTCTCTCACTACGCAGGGCTAGTGTGCATGTGAACTTCCTATATGAACTGTATATCGAGAACTTGGCCATATAGAACGTTGCTGTCTTGAGCAAAGTTGTTCAGGTGACCAAATCCTTTCGGATGGTGGTCATATTATTTGAGAACTCTCTCACTACGCGGTGCAAGTGTGCATATGAACTTCCTTAATATGTTATGTCTAGAAAGCTTGGCCATATAAGATGTTGCTGTGCAATTTGAGGACACGAACGGAATAGAGCCCGGAAATAGATGCCAGACGTCATATGAGTATTTCCGGAACGGGGACCACGTTTAGAGGCCGGAAATCGATACTACACGTCATTTTAGAATCCAAGATGGCGGCGATAATCCACTGGGAAGATGAATTTTGTCTAATTAATGTTTAAAGGTATTTTGGAGCTTAAGATCTTGCCTCGCATTAATTTTCCTGAATAATGCTTACCAAGCATGTTGCGTATAATTTGTATATTGTTTCGACTTCTCTTTGCAAATCTAGGATTTTTGAACTCTGTTCGACATAACTGTCCAATGTGGAGAAGCTTTCGAACTCGGAGAGTTGATTTATTTTGAACTCGATTTCTGCCGTGGTGGGATGAAAATATAATCCATATTCATTGTAGATGGGTCCAGTTTGCTAAAAATTTCATCTACTGTAGCCAGTTCATCTCTTATGATTTCGTTGATTTCACCGAGTTTCTTATCCCCGGCGCACCAAACTTTCCGTGAATTTGTTGAACTTTGGACATGCTCTGCAACTCCTCGTTGTCGTCTGCATTGCATTGTGAATTCACGAAATACGACGGAAGAATTTTCTTCAAGCAGTTTACCACCGGGCTTTGTTTTATGTTCTTTAGAACCACATCCAAGCAGTCGAAACAATTCTCGAGGCAGAACTACTTTTGTGTATCCGCTAGTGAAAGGCCTTCATTCTCGGCTGTTTCCAGAATAAAACTGTTGCTTCTCTTGACAGACTTCAGCTTGAAATGTTTGATGATACCTTGATCAAGGGGTTGAATCAAAGACGCCATCTTTGGTGGCATGTGTAGAAGCATTATGTTGGGATTGCTTATGGTGGGCGGATGCAACGGAGCGTTATCAAGGAGCAGCAAAGCCTTTTGGCTGCACAAAACTCCTCCAACTGTGGTGAGAAGCATTCTTTTATCCAGTCCTCAAATAATTCTCGGGTCATCCAACCTTTCTTGTTCCCACTATAATATTATTATTATTATTTAACTTTATTAATGAGGCTTTCAGCCTTGGGCTGGTTCGCCTCCATCCCCACTATAATACCCAAGGAGATTTACTTCCTGTAAATTTCGCTTTGTTCAATTCGGTCCCGGCATTGTTTTCAGATGTTCTGAGACATAAGATATTTGAAGCGTTTTTTTCTACAGCAGTTTTGTTTCATCACAGTTGAACACTTGGTTAAGGCAATACTGAACACTTTCAATTTATTTTTTACCAAAAATCAAATGGCATCGATTTCTAGCCTTTTCCTATTTCCTTTCCAGAAATACCCATATTGTAGGGTATTTGACAGTTTTCTTGAACCGATGGCCTCCATCTTTCGGCCTCTACACGTCGTCCCCTTTCCGAAAATACCCATATTGTAGGGTATTTGACAGTTTTTTTTTGAACCGATGCACAGTGGTTCCCCTTAGAACAAAAGTTGGCCAAAACCTCAAAATTGTTGCAAATAGGCAAAAAACAGTTGAAATAGATGTTTTTTTAGATGTACGAAGAAAACTTGACAATCAAGACGTCACAAAAAAAAGTATAGTAGAACCAAAACCAATGCTCAATGTACCCAAAGCCGTATTTAGGAAGATAAAAATGTTTGCGTATGTTTGTAAAATTGGTGAATTAAAAATACAAACTTTTTTATTATTTGAGATAGACCAAAGCAGTGTTCTAAACAGTTGTAGAACAAGCAATTCAAAGCAACTTCGTTCAAAACACAACGTTTTTATCTCTTATGGTTCATGAGTTATGATTTTTTTTTAAACAAGCAGGTTAGGGTGGCCACTAAAATCGGGTTTCTTTGAATATATTTTAGTAGCAGTAGGGGGTCACTAAAATCGGGTTTCTTTGAATATATTTTCATGCGTTAATTGCTCGTAAAACATTGTTGTGATTATATTTAGAACTTTTGATGAAGCATATTTTTGCTCAAGCAACTAGGTTACTATATTTTTTGATTAAAAACTTAAAGGCTGTTTACTTCGAAAAAATGGCCCTTTCAATTGTCAATACCTCAAATGGAGCAAACCTATTTTCCAAACATTTAATTTAATTAGAAACAACGGTTATAGTTAAAAAAAAGTAATATTTTTTAGCAAAAACTAGCCATAATTTTTCAAATAAAAGAAATAACAACTTAGCATAGATATGCGTCATAAAAAGTTCTTAAAGTGTCTTGAATAAAAATTTCACAAGATATGAACGTATAAAAAGATATTTAAAGAATGCCTGTTTAAAAAATCATAACTCATGAATCATAATAGATAGATATATGGTGCGTGTGTGTATGTGTGTGCGTGTCGGCGTGCTTTGAAAAAGGCATTGTGTAGCTTGCTACAGTATACACCGAAGATTATATAACTTAGGAACGGATATTTTCCAAAGAACACTTTACTTGTTATTCCTAATTTCAACAATTTTCTCAAAAAATCGCAAAACACATTAAAACATATCTGAAAGCTAACTTTTCTAGCTATCTTTTGGTTACTAAAGGATAGTGGGCGTTAGTAAAAAAATAAATAATCAACAGAACTGCACAAATTATTCATTTTAAGATACTTTTAGTATACTTTATTTCCATTTCATCAAGCCAGTGTAGACTACATACAATGATTATTACAAAAAAAAGTAATATTTGTAACATGTTAAAATGATAAAAAAATATCGAAATAAAAAAATATCAACTTTAATTTTTGAGGTTTTGGCCAGCCAGCCACTGTGCGATGGCCTCCATCTTGGATTTCAAAATGGCATTTGGCATCGGCTTTCAGCCTCTACACGTCATACCCTTTCCGGAAATACCCATATTGTAAGGTTTTCGACAGTTTTTGTTGAACCGGTGGCCGCCATCTTTGATTCTAAAATGTAGCCTGGAATCGATTTCCGGCCTTTACACGTCGTCCCCTTTCCGAAAATACCAACTGGATGGCA